CTCAGCTCAAACAAGTACCCAAATTCTGTTGCCAACCTGATTGAGCAGTGGGGTGACATTATGCTATGTGAAATAAGCCAGTCACAGAAGGACAAATACTACATGATTCCATTTATATTCCATTTATAAAACAGCCCAACTCACAGAAGTAGAAGGTGTCTAGCAGAGGCAGCAGGTACCAGGGCCCAGTGTGCAGAGGCAGGGTAGCATCATGGATGTGTGGCCAGGCTGCGGACCTGGATTAAGTCCAAGGTCCAGCTCTGGCCTCTGCTAGTTATATGACTTGGGCAAATTACCTAACCTCCCTCAACCCCTGTGTCCTCACTTATAGCAACATCTGCCTCACAGAATTATTGATTGGGACATAGTAACATGCCTAGCACACACGGTATATATTACCAGGCAGGGACCAGCCCAGCTTGACAGGTACCAGGGGTCTCTAAGAATGAGAATTCAGAAGTGAGCTTAGATTACAGGCTTGGGGTCAGATAACAAACATTCTATTCTTCATAATTTTGATTTCTGTATTAACTCCATTTTAAAAGTCTGTCTTTTCTCTGAATATGGTAGCCCCATATAAATAGTATTACTCTTGATCAAGTGACTTTAAGAGTCTCCTTACTGAGAGATTTTTTAATCCACAGTTTAGTCACTTTACCTTCTGAATTTGCCATCTCTTAATATCAAAAACGTTTGCGGGAGGAGGGATTTAGGAGTCAAGATATTATTGCCTCCTAAGACAATATTGCAATAATCAAAGAAGATGAACTGAATGATCATTTTAAGTATTATGGGATAATTCAGTGTGAAATATGGGATCTGGTTAACTCTTTTTTTTTGTTGGATGTTTTTGTCTTCACCCACGAAGTTTCTCTTTTCAGGGTTTTTAAGTGAACGTTGCCTGCCAACAGAGTATACAGGACAGAAACAGAAAACAAAGTGCTGGCCTGAATTCATAAGGTCAAGGATGAAAGTCAGAACACCGGTAAGAAAAAACTTTAGTAATGTTTTTGGCTGAACCCAAGCTGTTTGGGACCTTCTCTCTCAAGCAATGCCAAATAATTGATGTTATAAAGAAAAATAAATCCCACAAACCTCTTTGATATCATAAATACCAAACAATAAGATTGTTGACTGCATTTTTCCTGTTTTATTTCATGAAGATACACCCTGAGTGCTCTGTTCTGTGGTACAGTTCTTGGAATCTGTTCAGTAAATACTGATTTTTAAAAATAAGATATAAAAATTTTCCATGGCCAAGAAAAGATTTTCCATGTAATTTAAAGACCCTTAAACGTGGAAAGCATTGTACTAAGTGCTTGACGTGAGTTATCTCCCCACAATGCTATGGTATAGACACTCTATCCTCCCCCAAGTTACGGACGGGGAATCCAGAGAAGTTAAGCAACCTGTCTGACATCTCTAACCCTGAAGGGTTAAAGCTCCATCCAATCCAGACAGGCTTTAAAGGTTTTATGACCATCAGCCAAGTGGTTTAGGGCAAGTCACTCAACCTCTCAGAATTTTAGTTTGTGATGTCAACTGGGTACAATGATACCTGCCTTGCAGGTGTATCGTACAGATTAGATATAGTACATGTAAAGTGCTTAGCACAGAATCTGCATCAAAACAAATCCTTCGTACAAGGAAGTTATTTTGGTGTCCTCTTTCTGTTGTTCCCTAATGGGACAAGAAATATATTCCTCCTCCTAATGTCTCGACGAGGATAACAATGAAAGCAGGACTCAGTGAGGACACTGGGAGGCCGTGGGTTATGGACCACGTGAAGGACCCTAAGAACACTTACTGCAGTTTGGCCCAGGTCTGTCCAGCCAATGGAAGATGGGCTATTCTCTGTGCCATGACACTAGGCAGAGGGGGTACTTATGGACTGAACACTGGAGAGCCTCACTCAACTTAGAAAAGGCATCCTTCCTGGATGCCTTTGGGATTCTCAGGGAAAAACTGAGCTCACGCCTAGAGTAATACAATAGCCAGGTACAGAGTGCTGATGTCAGCATGCTACACATTGTCTCATCCACACAGAAACCAGGAAGTAAGGATTATTTTCCTTATTTCATAGGTGAGGATACAAACCTCAGTCTATTTGACTCATAAGCCCATGATCTTAAAATACTGTGTTTATGAAGAAAGACTGGTTGTAAGGGAAAAACAACCAGTTTAACGTGCTGTAAGCAAAAGAGGAAATCTCATTATGAAAGTGGTATCTCACAGATTTCCTGAGAAAGGAGCCAGAACTGGAAACTAGAAAGTTGTGGGCTTGTGCGCTCTCTCCCTCCCTCCCTCTCTCCCTCCCAATCTCTCTGTCTCTCCCCTCATCTTTTCCTTCTCTTTCTAGAACACCCCTCAACCCTTCCTCAGCCCTATTATAGAACCAGCTACTCCACACTTCTGAGGTTATACGCTATTGGTCCCTGCTCTCATGAAGACTTCAAGTTCCCAGGAGAAGAATAATTTTTTTAAATTCTTTTTCTTTTTTTATTATCCATGTGGGGTGTGAAAGCTGAGGAAGGGCCACAGAAATTCCTGAGTTCAGCCTACTCTTACGTCGGAGTCTTGTGTACCCCTGGAAGTTGCTTAGGTGACTGTTTAGACACCTCAGGGCAGCCGGCTTTCCTGTGGGAGTCCTGGCTGTTAAAATACCCTCCCTTTTACTACTCCCACCTCTATTAATTCCCCTCCACGGGTCCCCCACTGGCTGAGGGAGCAGGCCGGGCCCCAGGGTTTCCCCTTCCCTCCCATCCCAGCCTCTGGCCCACGAGCTCTAGTCATCAATGCTCCTCTGAAAATGGACACCCAGACCAGATCCAGACCAGATCTGGCCACACTCCATGTCTGACCTCCAGGCCAGGTTTCAGTGCCATTTGGTCAGCCCAGCGCCTGGGGGCCAGTGCAAGGAAGGACAAATTGCCCCAGAGGAAGAGCCACCGTGGGTCACTCAGGGGACAAAGACAATGATGAAGGGGGAAGTGTGAGTGAAGATGCATAAGGATCCCACGAGGGTCCCAGCTGAGATGGCAGATGCAGAACCTACGGCTTCCTCTCCTCTGGACCCAGCTCAGAGTCACAGGTCCTGAGATGGCCTTTCTGAGGGCGTGCGGCCAGAGCCGAGGGTGGAAGGGAAATTGTGAAAAGGGGGCTCCTTGAGCGGGCTGAGGTCTCTGAATCGGCAGAGGGCTCAGTGAGGGGAATGGGGACCCAGTGAGGGAGGAGGCTTATCTGTGGGTGGGCCATCAGTGAGGGGGCCCCATGAGAAGACAAGGCTCAATATGAGTGATGAAGGGGAAAACTGTAGGACCTTTTTTTTTTTTTGCCAAGGTGGGAGGCTCAGTGGTACAGCCTGGGCCCTTTTCCACACACTCCTACCCCTCCCCCTCCCTCCTATCCCTCCTTCCCCCTCCCCCTTTCCCCTGTCCCTTCTCCCTTGGCCCACAAGCCTCTGCATGGGCTATGCTCATGGTGGGGGAGAAGTGTGAACTTGCAGAGAGGATGGAAACTCTGCACAGAAGTCAAGGGCAATGTGTGTGTGAGGGTGAGTCGGGACAGAAGTCGGAGACTCCCATGTCCCCTGAGTTTAGTCTCATCCCCCAGAACCAGCGGGCCCAGGGGCTCCCCCTTCATACTCCCAGGAGAAGATGTTTATTGGTCCAGCTGGAGTTGTTGCCTCTGGTTGAGGACTGATTGAAGGATGGCAAGCAGGAACCATCCCTGTGAATTGCAGGGACTAGAGAAAGGAAATTGATGCTCGGGATGGATAAACGCTAGACAAGACATCCTCCACACCTATACTGCTTTCCTATAAGATGCTCAAGCACTTATTTATTTCAGAAAATTCAATTAAACATGACCTGTATTAACATAAGCATTGAGGAGTGTGTAATTAAGATGATGTTTGGTGCCTAAACACATTGATTTAGGCAGAAAAATTAGTAAACCTAGAAAGTGCCATTTCAAGTACATTAGGCCAGCTGCCTGGTAGAGGCTCTAACTATTGTCTGGTTTCTACTGTAGTGCTGTCTGATGGGGGAAAAAAGCAAGCCACCTGTATAATTTTAAAAACTCTACTAGCCACATTTTTTTAAAAAACTGAAAGGAAAAAGGTAGAATTCATGTTAGTAATATATTTTATTTAACCCAATATCTAAAATATTATTATTTCAATATGTAATCAATATTATTAACGAGCTATTTTACATTTTTGTCCTAATTCTTCAAAATATGATATGCATTTTATATCTATAGCATATCTCAATTTGGATACAATATTTTCATTGGAAATATCTGATCTGTATTTAGATTTCCTAAAATATACAGTTGACCAAGTAGAGCTGTAATTACATGTTCCATTATTTTATGCTAGCTCTCATTATTAAGTGGAATAAAATTAAGCTTTTTATTTCTCACTGAGCTAATCTATTGTCCAAATTGTTTCTCCTGTGCAGAAAGGATCATTGGTAAAAATGGCCCTGCTGAGACTGTGGGCTTCTACCCCAAGTCACCTCTTTGTTTGGTCTATGTGACAACAAATAATTTTTTTTTCATAGATTAACTGAGAATGTTGGAAATTTTTGAGGTTTTGTTGTTACAATACTTTTTTTTTTTCATTGAAACACCCAAGTTTCCTTAGGAGAAGATTTTTCTTTGCCCCTGAAATGATATAATTGCATATAGGGGTTCAGGAGATGCTGACAGTGCAAATCACTGGTGACAAAATGCAAGCAGCTGACATTTGTCCCCTCTTGGTAGTACTTAGGGATAGCAGGTATGGGCAAGGAGGAGACAGCCCATGTAGAGAGTCCCCAGGCCTGACTTCCATATTGAACAACAGGTCAGGAGTTATCGGTAGAAGCCATGTGGGTAATTAATGATCTAGGAGTAAAATCATGTCAGGACAACACACACCAAACAACACCTAGTCTGGTGCCAAGGAAAGTCTCCTGCCAGAAAACCCAGCTCCAGTTCCTGGGATGCCAGTCTTCTCACACTCTCCTGTCCTTGGTATTGCTGAGCCTGGTGGGGCCTCGAGTCTTATTCTTTTTCTTATTAGTGTTTTGCTTTGAGGAAGGAAGAGACAGCTCCAACGCCCTCTTCTTGGCATCCCAGTCTTCATCCCGCTGATCACGCTGCAGCCCCTTCTGCTTGGTGGCCTGGCGGTGGTCCCAGCACTGGGGCTCAGCCCTAGGAGAGGGGAACCAGCTCTCAACCCCCAACGCCCGTGGGCTGGACAGCCTGCCCAGCCTGCAGAGGGGCGTCTCCTCTGCCCTCTGAATGCGGCCTGGGCACCTCCACCGTCCAGTCGAGGAGAAAGGCGGCCAAGTTCAAGCATTTCCAAGTGTACACTTAGGGAGGTCTCAGACACTAAAGAAACAGGGTGCCCGGGTGGGATGTCCATAGAATCAAAGACAAGCGCTTAGTTTGAAGTGCTTGTCGGTTTTAATGACAGCGGCTGCGCCACTAAGCCCCCCTACTCATTTTTAAAGTGCTCATATCGACAGAGCAACCTGCATATTATGGGGAGGCTGTTTTCCTTCATTTATTTTTTAATTGCATTTTTTCCTAATTATAAAAGCTATGCCTGTTCATTGTAGAAAAACTTAAAGTACAGAAACAGGTAGGGAAGAAAATAAAAATTATAATCACGTACGTATTGTATGTATAGATGGATTTATGTAAAGAATAGTTAGATGATATACATAGGTAGATGATAGCTACAGAATCTTAGAGCAGGTGATAGATGGAGAAATAGATGAATCGATCATAATACACACACGGACGATGGGAAGCATACAAAAACACTGTTTTGTATATGAGGCCAAAGGTGAGTATGTGACTTGCTTAAGGACACCGGTGAAAACCCATTCATGGAGATAAGATTTGAGCCAGTATGAGGACAAATGAAATTTGAGAGGATAAATGATCATACAGGCAGGGCAAACAGTATTGTAAGTGCAAAGCATGATAAAAAGCACAATTCATTCAGAGAACAGCAAACCTGCTTGTCGCTCAGCCTTTGCGCCCCCAGCAAGCTGCCAGTGACCTCTCCATATTCAGACCACAAAGCCTCCCTCCTCTGACCTGCTCTTTTGACCTTGTCACTTTCTATCTTGTATTAGTGTTATTTATGTAAACCAGTTCTCTCTTCTCCCAGACAGGGAGCTTCTTAAGTGTTCAGCACTGTACCTGAATTATCTTTAAATCCTTTCCAGTATCTAGTTCAATGCCTCTCTAATTTTTATTTTCTGTAAGGTAATGAGGACTTTTTAAAAATTGAAGGATAGCTGATTTACAATGTTGTATCAGTTTCTGGTATACAGCAAGGTGATTCAGTTTTATATTACATATAAGAATATATATATTCTTTTTCAGGTTCTTTTTCCCTTATAGGTTATTATAAGATACTGAATATAGTACTGTGCTATGCAGTAGGACCTTGTTGTTTATCTGTTTTACATATAGTAGTGTGTCTCTGTTACTCCTAAACAATAGATTTTAATAATCTAAATAATCTAAAACAATATAGCTTCCACCCCAAACTAGCCATTTCAGTGAAAAATTGGTAAAAACAAGTCAAACAGCAATTGGTTGGATTTCCTCGTTTCATTTTCATCAACCTGAGACCACTGAGTTGGCAAAGACCTTGGTCACTGGCTCCTCTTTCTCTGCCCTTTATAGCGGGAAATAAAGGAAACTTACTGTGCTCCAGGAATGCTACACAGGCTTTCTGCCCATAGATCTATGCGATCCTCTTTGGTGTGTCTCCAAAGAAGTCAGGGGCGTCGATGGCGGCGTGCAGGGCATGGAGAGTTTTGAGCACGTTCAGATGGCCCGATTCAGCTGCGAAATGAGCAGGGGTCCAGCCCACATCAGTTACCAGGCAGGGCCTGGCCCCGTGTTCTATCAGGAGCGGCAGCACCTCCATATGTCCTCAGATGTCCCAAGAAGAAACAAAAGGTTAGGATGAAAGTGTCTCTGCTGGACCAAGGCCAGAGCTAGCCTAGGTGGCCCAAAAGAGGGGGAGACGTTTGCCCTTGAGGTCCCTCCAGCTTCCTAGCATCAACCCCTCCTCCCTTCTCCCTCTTCTTACCAGGCACTCAGCACCCCACTCTTACCCCGTGGCTCCCACTCTCAGTCTGAGCCCTCCAAGGATTCCCTCTGTTCCTTCCAGGACACCCCCCTCTCCTGTCCATTCTTGCAGACCCTGTCCAGGAATCTTACTTTTTCTTCCAAGTCACTCTACCCTGACCTGTGCTAACACCCCTAAGGCTCACTCTGCTTTCAGCAGTCTCAATGCCGACTGCAAAACCAAATATTTGGCAATGACATGGATGCACTTTGAGGGCATTATCCTAAGTGAAATAAGTCAGACAGAGACAGACAAATATCACATGATCTCACTATACATAGAATCTAAAAACAAAAAAACTGAGCTCATAGATACAGAGAACAGATTCGTGGTTGCTGTGGGTGGGCGCAAGATGGGTGAAGGTACAAAAGGTACAAACTTCTAGTTATAAAATAAATGTCATGAGGATGTAATGTACAGCATGGTGGCTATTGCTAATAATACTATATTGCATGTTTGAAAGTTGCTAGGAGAGTAGATCTTAAAAGTTATCACAAGGAAAACAATTTGTAACTATGTATGGTGGCAGATGTTAACTAGACTTATTGTGGTATTTCACAATATATACAAAAATTGAATCATTATGCTATATACCTAAAACTGATATTATGTTGTATGTCAATTACATCTCAATAAAAAAATACATCAAGTCCCACTTACATGAAAGCTAGCACAGATTAAGAGCACAGGTTTTCTCGTCAGAGAGATGTGGCTTCATACCTGACAATAAATACCGCTTGCTAACCATGGCATCTCAGATGAGAAACAAACATCCGAGGTTCAGTTTCCTCATTTGCCAATTAAGGATATATTCACTTACCTTACTGAGTTACTGTGAAGCACAAAAGAATCACAGGCGTAAAGTACACAGCCCAGCATATAGCAAATGTTCACTGACAGGTGCTTTAGCATAGCTCCCATCACTTTGTACTGGAAAATTCTCCCAACTGATTTCTCCGCAGCCAGGCTTGCTTCCCACCAACCCATTCGCCATACGGGAGTCAAAACAAATTTTTTAAAGGCAAAGTTGACTGTAATACTTTTCTAACATTCTTCAATGGTGTCCTATGGCTGAAGGTCTTGACAAGCCCCTTGGCTGAGTTTTTGCCACGATCCTCCTCCAATTCTATAACTAAGCCTTGTTTGGCATGCCCCAGCCATGAACAGGACAAAGTTCCTGTCCTGCCCTCAAGAGGGCAGAAGGCTAACATTAATTGAGAGTCACTACGTGCTAGGCAGTGCACATTCGCTATCTTACTGAATCCTCACCATGAGATTCCAAGGCAGCATTACTGCTCTCATCATACAGATGAATAGACTAAGGCCTGGAGATGTTAAATAACTTGCCTAAGGTGCTACAACTAATAAGTGGAGGTGCCAGGATTGTAATGGCCCCCATTCATTCATCTGTCTCCCAAGAAATGTTCTTTCTACTACCCCACACCGACTACCAACTGGGAACCTCATGAACAGTGGTCTCGAAGGGATGGATCTACGTAGGCATTATTGCCTACTCACCCTTGATCGCAGCCCAGTGAAGTGGGGTTCGGTCATTCCAGTCCACTTCCTTGTAGTTTGGGTCACAGAAACCTTTCTTCAAAATCTTTTTCAATGAATGGTAGTCCCCAGCAGCTACAGCTTGGTGGAGTTTTAGCATGTCGGACAGTTTGGTCAATTCCATGACCAAAAAAACAACTGTGGGAAAAGCATGCCACTTAGGAAATTCTCTGCAACACTTTATTCCTAGGGAGTGATTCCATAGGGTTCCTGATTGTTTACTTTCTTTCTTACCTCATACCTTTGCATCCAGGGTTGCTTCATGTGTATGCCCTGCTGAGTGTGTATTTGGATCTTAGCTACTGTGGTTAGTGCTTGCCAATTCCCTAACCAAAAACTATCAATGGTTCCTTTCTGCCTATAGGATTATAGGCTAAGCGCATGGGCTGACATTGGCACCTCTTCCCAGTACTACTTGCCACTCCTACTCAAAAGGGCTAGCAGTGTGACTCTCAGTAATTCTGTGCCTTAGCTTCCTCATCTAAAGAATGGGTAAAATGGGCTTCCCTGGTGGCGCAGTGGTTGAGAGTCCGCCTGCCGATGCAGGGAACACGGGTTCGTGCCCCGGTCCAGGAAGATCCCACGTGCCGCGGAGTGGCTGGGGCCGTGAGCCATGGCCGCTGTACGGAAAAAAAAAAAAAAAAAAAAAAGATTGGTCCTGTTCCCTGTGCTGATAATTGGTTTGATGGTTCAAAAACAAAGATGTAGAAAGCCACTGGTGCCTTAGCACAAAGCAAGGCAATGACACCAAACACCTAGCAGTCAAGGTATTCTTCACCACCACACACACAGAGTTTTTGTTTTTGTTTTCAGGCTAATTTTAGTAAAGAAATTAAAGCAGTAATAATTATTTATATTAAATTCTGACCCCTGATTACATGACTTCGTAAAAGTGTTTTTTTTTTTTTTTTGCGGTACGTGAAGAGAGGCCACAAGAGGGAGAGGCCCGGGTGACTCAAAAAAAAAAAAAAAAAAATCTATAAGGTCAAAATAAAGAGCACAAATAAAACCACACATGAGCTGTGCTTTGAGCCATATTAATATATATATATATATATATATATATATACCCAGCATAGGAGCACCTCAATCTATAAGGCAAATGCTAACAGCTATAAAAAAGGAAATTGACAGTAACACAATGATAGTGGGGGACTACTTTAACACCTCACTTACACCAATGGACAGATCATGCAAACAGAAAATTAATAAGGAAACACAGCTTTAAATGACAAAATAGACCAGATAGATTTAATTGATATTTATAGGACATTCCATCCAAAAACAGCAGATTACACTTTCTTTTCAAGTGCAGATGGAGCATTCTCCAGGATAGATCACATCTTGGGTCACAAATCAAGCCTCAGTAAATTTAAGAAAATTGAAATCATGTCAAGCATGTTTTCTGACCACAATGCTATGAGATTAGAAATGAATTACAAGGAGAGAAACATAAAAAACACAAACATGTGGAGGCTAAACAATACATTCCTAAATAACAAAGAGATCACTGAAGAAATCAAAGAGGAAATCAAAAAATACCTAGAGACAAATGACAATGAAAACAGGACAATCCAAAACCTATGGGATGCAGCAAAAGCAGTTCTAAGAGGGAAGTTTATAGCTATACAAACCTACCTCAAGAAACAAGAAAAAAATCAAATAAACAATCTAACCTTACACCTAAAGGAACTAGAGAAAGAAGAACAAACAAAACCCAAAGTTAGCAGAAGGAAAGAAATCATAAAGATTAGAGCAGAAATAAGTGAAATAGAAACAAAGAAAACAATAGCAAAGATCAATAAAACTAAAAGCTGGTTCTTTGAGAAGATAAACAAAACTGATAAACCATTAGCCAGACTCATCAACAAAAAGAGGGAGAGGGTTCAAATCAATAAAATTAGAAATGAAAAAGAAGTTACAACAGACACCGCAGGAATACAAAGCATCCTAAGAGACTACTACAAGCAACTCTATGGCAATAAAATGGACAACCTGGAAGAAATGGACAAATTCTTAGAAAGGTATACCCTTCCAAGGCTGAACCAGGAAGAAATAGAAAATATGAACAGACCAATCACAAGTAATGAAATTGAAACTGTGATTAAAAATCTTCCAACAAACAAAAGTCCAGGGCCAGATGGCTTCACAGGTGAATTCTATCAAACATTTAGAGAAGAGCTAACACCCACCCTTCTCAAACTCTTCCAAAAAATTGCAGAGGAAGGAACACTCCCAAACTCATTCTATGAGGCCACCATCACCCTGATACCAAAACCAGACAAAGATACTGTAAAAAAATAAAGTTACAGACCAATATCAGTGATGAATATAGATGCAAAAATCCTCAACAAAATACTAGCAAACAGAATCCAAGAACGCATTAAAAGGATCATATACCATGATCAGATCAAGTAGGATTTAACCCAAGGATGCAAAGATTCCTCAATAAACGCAAATCAATCAGTGTGATGCACCAGATTAACAAATGGAAGAAGAAAAACCATATGATCATCTCAGTAGATGCAGAAAAATCTTTTGACAAAATTCAATACCAATTTATGATAGAAACTCTCCAGAAAGTGGGCACAGAGGGAACCTACCTCAGCCTAATAAACGCCATATAGGACAAACCCACAGCAAACGTCATTCGTAATGGTGAAAAACTGAAAGCATTTCCTCTAAGATCAGGAACAAGACAAGGATGTCCACTCTCACCACTATTATTCAACAAACTTTTGGAAGTCCTAGCCACGGCAAGCAGAGAAGAAAAAGAAATAAAAGGAATACAAATTGGAAAAGAAGAGGTAAAACTCTCACTGTTTGCAGATGACATGATACTATACATAGAGAATCCTAAAGATGCCACCAGACAACTACTAGAGCTAATCAATGAATCTCGTAAAGTTTCAGGATACAAAATTAATGCACAGAAATCTCTTGCATTCCTATACACTAATAATGAAAAATCTGAAAGAGTAATTAAGGAAACACTCCCATTTACAATTGCAACAAAAAGAATAAAATACCTAGGAATAAACCTACCTAAGGAGGTAAAAGACGTGTACTCAGAAAACTATAAGACACTGATGAAAGAAATCAAAGATGAGACAAACAGAAGGAGAGATATACCATGTTCTTGGATTGGGAGAATCAATATTGTGAAAAGTAAGTCACTTACTTACTGTGAAGTAAGTCAGAAAAAGGAATGAAATTGGGTCATTTGTTGAGACGTGGAAGGATCTAGAGACTGTCAGACTTACTGTGAAGTAAGTCAGAAAGAGAAAAACAAACATCATATATTAATGCATATATGTGGAACCTAGAAAAATGGTACAGATGAACCAGTTTGCAGGGCAGAAATTGAGACACAGATGTAGAGAACAACTGTATGGATACCAAGCGGGGAGAGCAGCAGGGGGTGGGGGTGGGGTGTGATGAATTGGGAGATTGGGATTGACATGACATGTATACACTGATGTGCATAAAATTGATGATTAATAAGAACTTGCTGCATAAAAAAATAAAATAAAGTTCAAAAATTCAAAGAACAATAGAATATTACAAAAGTGACCGATAATTTAGTTCACATGTATGTACTTGTTTATATGGGGAAAAGCTTAAAAGAATATACTTTGTAGTTAGATTAGTTGAATGAGCACTTATAACTCACACAAACAAAAGAAACATTTTGTAATTGTCAAGGGTAGAGCTTTTAAGGACCTTGATTAGCTGTGGTAACAGTAGGAAGGGGAAGGAAGATATGGATGACACTGTGAGTGTAGAATCAAATAAATTGGCAACCGAATAAAGGAGCCAGGTAACTGTGAATCACAGTGCCACCGGGTGCCTTGGACTTAGCACAAAGCCTCCTAAATCTTGATTGGGGTTAGTAGCGGTGTTATCAATGACTCAGGCAAAGAAAAATGTCCTGGAGACTGGTTTGGCAAGCCAGATCTTAGAGTCCAATTACTGAATGAATACAAAGAAGCCGCTTGTGACATCCACAGTTCCAAGAGTCCATAAGTAAACCAAGTCTACAGAAGGCAATAAGACCTGCCAAGGAGGAATGAAGCCTAAGCCTGGCATTGGACGATGACCTTTGGAATTGGCTAAAATACTGAATAAAAGATTCTTCATCCCTTCTCCACTTTTGAAACTTAGAGGCATGGCCATCTGGGACGTGCCGTCCTCTGGAAGTGCCTCACCTCTGAGGTCTTGTGTTTCAGATTCCATTCTCAATCATGACCTTCTACCCCACTTCCATCACACTGCCTCAGGGTAGTTTCCTCCAACCCACTCAAATCACCAATATTTTTCAGTTCTTCCTGGTTATTCATGTTACGTATATGTATAGTCATATAGATATGAAGTCTCTTTCCCAAAGCTGTGTGAGTCTATAGATGTGTGTAGTATAGTAATATGGACATGAAATCTCTTTCCCATAGGTGTATGTGTATATATACATATGTGTGTATTGATGTATAGATATATAGGTACATATCTATATATCAGGTGCTCGTTCTGCTTGCCAAATACTGTTCTAGGCAATTTACATGCATTATCTCTTTTAATACTCACTGAGCCCTTGTGATATAGATGATATTATTATTTCTATTTCACAGCTTAGGAAACTGAGGGGTTTAAAGTCTGTGTAAATTGCTCAGGGCCTTAGAGCTAGTAAAGGTAGAACTGGATTTGAGCCCAGGTCTGTCTGACTCAGCCCTCTTAATTACCACATTTACCTCTGGAAAAGTATCTGGAAGACATGTACTAAGTTGTTAAATAATTACCTAATGAGGTTGGGGTTATGACGGAACCCTCACATTCTATATTTTTCTCCTTTGTTTTGTTTGGATTTCCATCTAAAAATTCTATCTTTTTCCGTTAACAACAATTCCCTCATTTTTCACTGCCTCTGGCCAGTCTGTTCTCCCAGTTTCCAAGCCCAGATAGCCCTCCTCTGTTGTTTAGTTCCTAGACTGGCAAACATCGCCAGGGAAAGCACATCACCAGACAGACTGAATCCATGACTAAGGAGTGGATTCCAGTCACCATGGGGTTCAGAAAGCTTCAAACATCCTCAGGCAGTTCTCATTGCCATTCCCCAGATTTTCACTCTCC